AAATCGTTTTGGAGGAAGCAGACTTCAATCTAGGACGAAATTTTATATACTTTGGCGAGAAAACTTGTCATGTAATTCAATTCACAGATAAGGAAAACCTTATCGGGGAAATAAAATTAGCTGTGAACCCAAATGTAGTAAATGCAATACATTGCGATTTACCCCCATTGGCCAGCATACAATATGAATTGGTAAAGTGCTTTCCGTCAACGAAGCTTTGGCACTGCAGGAACATGTCGTCCGATATTGTCAACAAAGATGAACGGAGGGAGATGGTTTGTTTGCTGAGCATAATCGAGCTCACACAGCAGCTCAGGAGAATGTTGAACAACTGCTAGGTGGCTACTATTTCCCAAAAATGGTCTAGTTGGCTAACGAAGTGGTCGCAAATTGTAAAATTGGTAGTAGGGCCAAATACGATAGGCATCCTCGTAAGCAGGAACTTGGTGTAACTCCAACGCCATCCTATACCGCGGAGATGCTGCACATTGACATCATTTCGATAGGCAAGAGGTACTTTCTTACCTGTCGAGATGCTGCACATTGACATCATTTCGATAGGCAAGAGGTACTTACCTGTCTGGACAAATTCTCAAAATTTGCGCTGGTACAGCCTATACCATCTCGAACAAATCCCAACCATATAGTAAAAGTCCCAATTATTCAATTAATGAATATATTCCCAAAATCAGAGACTATTTACTGTGATAATAAGGCCTCTCTGAATTCTGAAACGATAACCTCACTATTAAAAATGATTTTGATGTCGACGTTGTAAACGCACCTTCCCTTCATAGCACTTCGAATAGGCAGGTTGAACGCCTCCATAGTACGTTTTTGGAGTTAGCAAGATGCTTAAAACTGGACAGAAAAATTAATGAAACCACCGACCTTATATTACTAGCAACAATCGAATACAACCGAACGATTCACTCGGTGACAAATAAATAACCAATCGATGTACCTAACGCCACACCACCTGAGATGAGAAATGAGATAACCACGAAAATAACGGAGGCCGAACAAGCACAAATGGATAGGAATAACACCTCCAGACAGAATAGGGTATTCGACGTAGGGGAACGCGTATTGATAAAGACAAATAGAAGACTCGGTAATAAGTTGTCCCCTTTATATGTTGAGGGAGGAAAAAGTTGAGGCAGACTTAGGAACCACGGTTCTCATAAAAGGGAGGGTAGTCCATAAGGACAATCTGAAGTAGGAAAAAGGTCTTTTTGCTATTTATACTTCTGCATTTTACAACTCCTTTAATAGCGTAAGGTAAATTAATTAAGGTTCCTTTCCCACCATCTTTAAGGATAATAATTATGATATTCCTCATTTGAACGGCGACGGCAAAACTGACGAACTACTCGACCTACGGTTGCCAGACGTACTGATTTTATCAGTACAGTACTGATTTTTCAACTTTTTTACTGATTTTATTCATTTCTTCCATCAGTACGCTAATGTCCTGATTTATTAAACCTTGTACTACATTTCCAATTCAAACAAAATACTTAAGGATTTCATAAGGTTTTTACATAACGTTGGGACTTGCTTAAACTGCATTGTAAAAAGTAAGAAGAAAAAAAAATGAACTATAGTTAACATGTTTCCGATAATGTTTGATATGTCCAAGAAATTAATACAACAAATAGATCAATCGTTTTATGGGCTTATCGCCGGGTCGTTATGTACCAGTTGCGATAATTTGCTGAGCATAAATTATTTAAAAAAAAGCTGCCGTTTTTTTCGAGTGTTGTTAGTTATCTCGGAAATATCTTTCAGTATAATAAGAGCAAATTTGAATATTCGATAGTTTTTTGCCTATAACTTAAGCTGCCTTTAGATGAGACGATTTTTTGACAGGCGATAATCGCCTGCAAAAGTTGACTTGCTGTCTACTTTGAGGCAAACGATTTTTGAATCACCATTTACACAAGCGATTTTTTTTGAGCAATGTTGAATCGCTTAGAAAATCGCCTCATGTAAGTTCAGCTTTATAATTCTTGTTTTCTAAGTTTACTTGTAAAAGAGTTTTGCATACAAGACATAGATTTAAATATATACTCTTTTTCCTTTTCCACAGTTTGAAAAAATACGAAGCATGTATAAAGTTTGCTTCATGATAAAAACATTACAAGGTAAATTCATTCTCTCAATTCGCCGGTCATGATTTTTTTCTGACGTTTGTTCACTATTGTTGTTGTTTGAGATTGAAAATGAGAATGTGTGTGTGAGTTAGAGTTTTGAATTTTAAAATTATATTGTTGGCAAACGTCAGACTGCCCCTCAATGGTTCTACCTTGTTATGTTTTTATCATGGTTTGCTTCCTGGCGCAAAGAAAGAAACCGGCTTCTGATTAAAATTTTTAATAATTTTAAAATGAAATGTATAGAATTCTTCGATTATTTAAACACTGAAAATGGAAATGATTGCTATTCAAAAATGTCATAAATATAAAATAATTTATTTGCTCCTGTGTACAATTATGTGTACGTTCATGCTAAAATGAATGACATTTTTATTTTTATGAACCACATTTTATTTGTATTCTAAAATATTGTTGAAAACAAGTACTCTGGCGTTTTAAAGTGTTATCAGTTACTTACATTCAAAATTTTGTTTTGAATAAAAGTGTACTGAAAAGTACTGATTTTTTGGCATGAAAAAGTCGAAAGTACTGTTTTCGCGCATAAAAAATCTGGCAACCCTAACTCGACCGCTGCTTACATACCGATACAGGACGGGACGTGACTGTTTGGTACGACTTTAGCTATCTAAAGCATATCACTAACCTTACAGTTTACGAGGAAATAGTAGAGGAACCCAAAGGACTGACAACGCATTTCCCTTTATCCCATATGAGAATGCTACTGGACTCAGATATTGCACATATAAAGGTGCTTTTTACAACACTGGACATACACCACAGACAGGCTAGGAGCATTAACTTTTAGGTGACGACTTCGAAAACCTGAAGTTCCGACAACGGGAGCTCGTAGACTCAGAGCGGCATCAGGTAGAAATAAACACAAAGGTACAAGAAAAGATAAATCAACTAACGGACACGGTTAACCACATTATCAAAAACTCAAAAGCTAAGCAGATTGATACTAATTATTTGTATGAAACGCTGCTTGCAAGAAATAGAATTATTATAAATGAAATCGAAAACTTTAATTTCAGCTGTTACTTTTGCAAAGATAGGATAATAGGATAATAAATCCCTCGATGTTAAACTCAGATGATATAAAAAACATTATTGATATGCGCTCTACAAACACAACTATTACTGACTTAATGGAAGTATCATATATTAAAGTCCAATTAGATAGTAGCCTTTTACATTTTTTAATTAAATATCCTAAGCCTGTATTAGTCTGTGAGAAAATTATTATTTTCCCTGTTCAACACAACGGAACAATCCTGCACCTTGGGAATGACAACAACGTTGCCAACTGTCAGAATCAAGTTTTGGCGATTGGGAATTGCAGCGCAACACTTAAATCAACATTTTGCAGAAGGCTACCAAATCCAACGTGCGCGCAGCAGCTCCATTCTGGTAACCTCGCCCACTACAGCACTCGCCCTAGCCACCTTGAGCCAGTTACGGTAGTCGACGATGGCATAGTCATTATTAACGATAATACCGCTTTGATCACGACTAGCACAGGCTCCGAAAAGATCGTTACAGGAACTTATTTACTTACCTTTGAAGATGAGATTCGCATTAATGGATCTTACTTTAAAAACCATAATGGCATGTTGAAGAAATTACCAGGTTCCGCGACGACGGTGCTCCTCAATATCACAAACCATCAAGAGATATTGAGTCTTCCATACCTTCGAAGGATGAGTATGGAAAATATGGAAAACCTGCGTTTTATTGGAGAAATCGAAAGAAGAAGTATGGCAGGACCAACAATATCAGGTCTCGCTAGCATCATCATCCTAATTGTATGTTACGCTCTAGCTAAACTATGCCAATGCAGAAAAAGGCGAAAAGAAGACGCCAACGCCACGACCTTCAGGATGTCATTGACAGCTTCAAGAAGGACGGCCTTCATTTAGAAGGGAAGGAGTTAACACGAGTAGCCTAATGTCAACAATGAAAGTCCGCGCATGGCCTGAGTGAGCGAATTCCCGTTCTCACGCTGACAGGCAAGGCACAGCGCTAGCGTCTGTTACACATCCGCCGCGTTCGAGTTCCGTCATTTTGAAATCAAAAAATTATTATTAGAGGTCGCTCAAAGCACTCTAATGTTTTGCATATATTTTATATGGGGAAAGAACACTTTTTCTTAGAAATTCTATAAAAATCTTAAACATCAATATTTTTGGATCGGAGCTCTGCTTCTCTGCAGGAGATTCCCAATAATACAACCCAATTGCTTATTTAACCATTTTTTTCAAAATAACTATAATTTATAGGTCCGCTAAAAGCCCGAAAAATGTAATTCGGGGACCAATAGAAATATGGGGTATTATTACTGAAAGCCTCCTGAAGAGAACCAGAGTTTTCCGATCGAAAATTATGGATTTTCAAGAATTTTATACGATTTCCATTTGAGCGACCCCTAATTATTTTTTGATTTCAAAATAAAACAAGTAAAGAAGCATAAGTTCGGGGGTAACCGAATTTTATATACCCGGCGCAGGTATCAAATATCGTCATTTCAACTTTCTCTGAACTACATTTGCATGATAAGTTGGGGTGTTTACTCTATTTCAAACGTTTTCGATAATATGCAGAGTTAGACTTCGGGCCGGTTGCTCTATGTCTGGTTAACACTAATCTGCGGTTAAACATCGTTATCGACGTTACCGACTCCCGTCATATGCAGATTAGTGTTAACCAGATATTGAGTAACCGGCCCTTAATGATATAATTGAACCTAGTACAAATCGATAAAGTGGTTACAGAGATACACCTTTGTAGTCATAAAGTGGGCGGTGCCCAGCGTTGCCGCTTTGGTAATTTTTAACCAAAATTGGTAATTTTTTTCTTTATTTATCAAGTTTGGTAATTTGGTAATTTATTTTTCAATTTGGTAACTTTTTCAATTCGGTTTTACATGTCAAATAGGTCAATATTGGTTCTGATTCCACATTAGTAAGTGGACCGTAAGCGTTCCCTTTAATAGAAATACCAGGTGTTTAAGCGACTTATGCATTTCCCGCATAAACAAAGAACAGCGAACACACACACGCATTTGTATATTGCACTCCCGCCCAAAACCAAGTGCAGCGAATAAACACACGCACTTGTGCTTAAAAATAATTCGTTCGTTCTTCATTGGGTATGCATTTTTTAATGCACTTCTCAACTGCCGCAGAACAAAACCTACTAAAGTAGTTAATTGCTGGCACTCCAAATCATGCTCAACAAACCCGCTTGATGCATCACCACTCCTCCGGAGTGGTTTTAAACAGCAAAAGCCAAAGCGCTACAAGCTGTTGGGGCTCTGTATGACTTTCAGCATACAGAGGTGGTACAAGAGCTACCATTGGCCACAGCGCCTACCCAATTTTTGAACTTGAATCAATAACCAGTGCTCAACACTCCCGCTTGACGCACACCCCCAAAAACTCTTACAGAGTTTAAGCGGCAAAGCCACAGCGCTACAAGCCGTAGGGACTCTGCATGACTTACAACCATGCAGAGGTGGTAACTGATGGTTATCATTGGCTCCGACGCCTACCCAAAACATTTTTGCTTTAATAAATTTTTATGCAAATACATTCATCCTGGTCCTGCCCTCACACTGAGTTATTCACCAGGTAATCCTGAAAGTTTGGCAAGGCGAAAGTTGTTCCAGCGTTCCTTGGCTACTAGAATGGTGTGTTCTTTAACAAACTGCTTGAAAGTGGCTATTGCTAAGTATATCCACCGTGTCCTTTGCTGGAAGGTTTTGGGTGGTCCTACCTTTCCCTGTCAGTTCGTCAGCCTTTCAGTTACAATACGTATGTTCTTGTTCAAAAAGCTACGGCATTCAGCGGGGCTTCACTCTGTCTATGTGTGAGTCGAAAGCTTTCCTTCAAGCGTTGAATTTTTGATATATTTTCTTGTCACTTGTTTACATACAGTGGTCGAAAAAATTATAGCCGCACCATATTTTGAGAAGTTTTAACATATTATTTTTTTTAGTAACTTAATTTTGGTTATTTTTTATAAAAATATTTTTCTTTCTTTAACAGAGCTCTAACAAATTCAAACTTTGTTCAATATTTAAATAAAATTCAACAAACTTTCGTAAAAACTTTAGGTTAATGGAGCGCTGATTTTCTGAAAAGCTTGGTATCTTCGGATATATATATATGTATCGAGCCCTAACTGCCAAAATAATGTAAGCGAAATTTTTTTCAAAATTTTCTTTTTGATGCTCTAGGAACATTTCCGCATCAAAAATAAAATTAAAAAAAATTTAGGTTCCGTTATTTTGGCGGTTAGGGCTCGATATGTATGTTTGTACAGTTCTGCACATAAAATAAGTTTGGTAATTTTTTGTTGAATTTGGTAACTTTTTCCGAGGATTTTGGTAAAAAATAAAAAAACTTTGTGGCAACACTGGCGGTGCCATGCCCTACTCCTAAAAGTCTATAGTAGTGTTATTTATTGTTAGAAGATTGTTGTAACTATTAACTTGGAGTGAATTAGCGTCCTCAGTTATTGAAAAATCAGAGTTTTCGTATTTCTGAAATTTACCGTTATACGGGAACTGGGTGTAATTTTAGTCCGATTTGAATAATTTTCAAGGAATTTCTTTTCCGTACCAAGGTTATTAATTGCACCGAGTTTGGTAGAAATTTATAAATCGGTTACCGAGATACACATTTGTGGTCATAAGTGGGCGGCGCCACGCCCATTATCCAAAAGTTAATAATATTCTATTTTTCTACTAACAGGTCTATTCTGCACGTTACCGCAGATTTTGTAACCGGAAAATTTTGTTACCAAAAAATGTTACCAGTTCTTGTCACCGCGATTCTAGGAACGTTGGTAATGCAGTTAAAATGCAGACGGACGGACAGACAGACATGGATTAATCGATTTCTCTTTTCATTCTGAGCATTTATACAGTGACGAGCAAAACTGTAACATGATGTAACACTTTTTATTTGATACTGTTCCTTACGCATAATGCGTACAAACGGATCAACAACATTTTTGAAATACAACCCCAAACTATTATTGACCGACCACTGTGTTTCACAGTTTGCCTTACATGATGCGCTTAGGCTTAATTTGGGCCTTTGATCCGATACCATGCCCGGCCATCTGATTGAAAGCTATTAATTTAGTCTTGTCAGACCAAATAACCCTCAATTAAATCTTAAAAATGTGTTTTTTATCGGTCCGGTTTTCGTGCGATGCAGCAAAACGCTGCCACACTCGCACATGTATTTTGATCAAATTTGCTTTTTTCTTCTTTTATGATCCATTTTGCTCAATTTGGCAATTTTTCGCCTCACTATCTACTGATTTGCATTCAATTTTAATACCTTAAGCGCTTCTGTAGTAGTGCCTGCAGCGCTACTTGCTACTAAGTTCACAAGTTCACTGTAATATATTTTGACAGACTTTCTTTGTCCTTAGTAACACTTTAGGCTATATTTTTTCTCAGTCTTAACATTTTCATGTGGCAAACTCCACAATTTTTTGCCACTTTCCCTGCGGTCCCGCCTTTTCGCAGTAAATCTATTATTTACATTTATGTTTCCTGATTAACCATATTATTTATTGGTGATCACTTCTTGAATAAATTACAATACAGAAAAAGTCATCTGCCTTCCAACTAAGCAAAAGATAACTGTAAAATGCAAAACTGAGAGTGAGTGCAAAACTGTAACATTTGCCTTAACTTACATTTTTGTCTACAGGTTTTTTTATTGTTGTTGGATTGACCTCAAATCGTTATGAGAGCGGGAGTAGGAGTGTACCAATAAGAATATACAACAAAAGTATGAAAGTCGTTAGAACTATGAAAGATAGCGGTGGCTG